CACACACACATGCATACACACAAACAGGTGCTCTAATGTTTCTAGATGAAGGCACATAAACCCATTGAAGGTCACAGTAAGGCAGATTCACAGCACTAAGAGGAAACCGTAGACCGTAAAAATTAGCAAAGGAACACTCAAGACTTTGACCAGTCTGCCGTATTACAGAATCTCTGTTTAGGACTGTCCTGTCTTCCTCTGTCTGAAAGGAAGAGAGCAGGTGAGAAAGGGTGAGGATGGCTGAGAACAGGAGGAAGAAGATGTTCATGTGCAGTGCTGACAGACATCCCACCCCTGTTTTCCATGTGACCTTTTCCTCTGCAGGCAGGTAGTGAGAGTTTATCCTTGTCATTAGAAAACTAGCAGCACTGAGAGAGTCCTTTCCAGTCTTAATCCTCATTTTCCTTAAAGGTTCTTTGGCATGATCACATCAGCCAACCTTTAGACAGAATGCTTGACAGACAGAACAACTGACAGTCCATAAATCAACATTATCTCATGCTTTTGCAGACATACTGTCAAAAGTAAACAGTTGTGTTTTTCACTCAGACATGTAATTGTGGTAACATTCGGTATACCATCGCTCAAAGACAGCAGCAGTACAAACTCTGAGAGTTGTTTTTGCATCATTTAGAAACAGTAACTCCATAATGTAAATCACAGTTTGTTCAGTTTACTTTTACACAACAGAGGGCCAATCTGCACACACACGGCAGCAGCAATATTCCTTTGGATCACCAACAGACTGGGTTTGATTAGTCCACAAAGCACTAGTTTGACATAATACCCTGTTTCCAACCTATATACATTCTTGTGCAGAACAGCTCTGCTATGCAGAGATTCAACCACTCTGTTCACATACAAAATCTTGTCCCTGAGTCTTCAAACTACATCTGAATAATACCACTGTGCCCTCATTCCCCACCCTGTCCCACGAGCATCCCACCTCTTACCATTTCTCATCCATCTACCAGACCATTTAAGCTTGTAGGTATGGGTTAAAGCGGAGCTTCAGCCATTTCCATGTAAATCGATGAGCTGAAATGCCCCCCTGGCAGAAGGGCAAAGAATATGACACAGCATCTGCCTCACACTCACTCAAGATACACACGACGACAGACATGTAGTCACATACAGTAGAGAGACTCCACACTGGCTCTGAACTAACAGCGCACACACATTGAACAACATACACAGCTTCAGTCTCTTGGTTCGGTCTGTCACAGAGTGATGTCTTAATGGCGTGTCAGTGTCAGGTGCAATGGTTGTGCAGGGCTGTGGCTTCTGTGTGTTTGCATGTGTGTAAGTGTATTTGTGTCTGTGTGTATGCATATGTGTGTCTATAGGCAGTTCTGTGTCCCTGTGTTAAGTAAGGGCGTACTCAAACGTCCCTTTCTCCAGCCCCTCGATGCCATCAGCCCAGTTGGAGGAAGGCATGCTGCTGTAGGGGTCCAGCAGGATCCTGAAACACCTTACTATCAGCAGCCCCAGGAACACCAGTAGCATCCCCACAAAGGCAAATGCTGTCTTCTGCTCCAGAGTCAGAGAGTGCGCCATCATGTCGTTTCCGCTCATGGCAGCAAGGGAGTGGTTGAAGTGGACGCTACACATGGTAAACCAACATCTAGGTGCCTCATCTCTCCTCTGATAGGGTCAGGCGTTTAGAAGCCTGCATGTTACCTGGACAGAGATTACATGATGGCTTCAGATTAGTGCTGTCCTGTCTGTGCAGAGGAGATGCATTTAATCAACCTATTTAAATATTATCAGACTTAATGCATACACTGCGTAGGCTGCAAGAAAAAATACGGGTGGAGATATGGGAAAGAGACAATACAGAAACAATCAGAATGTTTTGAAATAAGCTGACTTCATGAAGCATGAAGGGTTACTGGTATCTATAAATAGCTTCTTTTGAATGAGGTATCAAACAGATGTCCGGAGACTTCGATCTCTCTCTCTCACTCTGCCCTTCTGGGAATTTTGCAGAAAATTACAAAAGGCAAACAGAAGAGTGAGGGAGACTGCAGGAAAAGGGGTTCAGGGATACGAGCCAATGCCATGGCCACATACCTTTAAGATGGGTTTGAATTACAGTGTGTCGCAGTGTAAAGCCAGCTGTTAAAAATAAGCAAAGCGGTAAGGTGTCAATGAAAGCGCCACATCTCATGAAGATGTGACGTTATGTATGTTTGGTGTAGAGGAGAGGGCTCTCTACCTGTTGCGTGTAAGCAGATGCCTGCCAGACAGAGTAATTCCACTGGACAAGAAAGCAAAATTGGTGTGGCCACACAAATGCAAGTCTGCTTCTGTCATTATTTTCTTCACAAATCTTTCATATGAACACAAGCAGCATGGGGCCTGAGCGAAACGCGAAGGGAGGGGGGTTAGATGAGAGAGGGAGGGTACATGCAGACAGGGACAGGGGAATGTACAGAGAGAATTGTGAAAGACAGACGAGGGGGAAGGAAGTGGAATGATGAGGAGGACACTGCACAAGTATGCATTGTGTGAGAGACAGAGAGGAGAGAGGGAGGGAGTGAGGTAGGGAGAAAGAGAAAGACTGCATTGACAGATTCTCTAGTGAGGATGTCTATGGGAGAAAAAGCAAGCGTCTCACCGTCATTATCGTTCCATCCTTACAGACCTGTTGCTGCTGTTTCTTGTGAACAACTCCTCTTTCTTGGAGCCCGCTTACACATATCTGTTAATCCACCCATTGCTGGCATACTGGATGTGCTACGCTAACCTCTCATCTAAACAAAAAGCGAGAGATAAAGAGAGAGAGAAACAGAGAAGCGAAGGGAGAGGCTGGATCAAGCTATGATATGTGTCTCTTCTCAGCTCCTCTCCTCATGCACCCTTACTTGCTGCCTCCTACTCATTATCATTCTGTTTCTCTATCTCTCCCTCCAGAAGCACGCACGCTTCCTCCTGCTGCATGGCAACCACTTGTTAGTCTCACTCCACAGCCCAAACCCCAGCCCCTCCACCCCCTCAGCAACACCAGGATGGATGCCAGCAGCATAATAAAACAATAACCTCGTCTTCTTTTTCTTCTCTCTTCATTCTCTCCCCTCCCTGGTTTATTTGGCTTTTCTAAAAATTACTCCACCAAGATGTGCCAAGAATATCGTGGCTTAGCCGGGAGGAGAAATGCTGCCTCTCACTGCTTCTGGACAGTAAATGCTGCTGCAAAGGTATTTTTTGGTACAGCACAGCATTATCCACCAAGCCTGCTTTGATGATGTGTTTTTAATTGGTGCAGTTTGCTGTGGTCAAATTGAATTAGCCCCTCCGCTTAAAGGCTTACGAATGCAGGCTCCCTGGGCATGGTGAAGGAGAAGAGACTGGCATTTAAATAGATTTTACTGTAGTGAATAAAGCAGTATTGTATAGGAAAAACAAGCAGCAGGTCATCTGATTGCCCAGTGTAACAGAATGCAGCAGTGAAGCGTCTGGCCATCTGTTTCGTTGTTATGCAGTGCAAATTCATATCAGCAATGTAGTTTCTGTCACAGTGGCGCAGTGACTCGGATCTAAGGATAAGGCATGCCACAGGGGAGATGGTCATCACTAGTTTGTGATGTAATAATTTATGGCTTAAAAGTGGCAAAAAGAGCTCCATTTTTCTTTTTCAGTTGTAAACAGCAGCCAAATTCCCTGAGAGAAACTAAACACCGCGGTGAATTACCTCCCTCACATTTACTTTTACTTCAAAGTTTTATGCCTCTGCAGTGTCTTTTGAACTGCCCTTTTTTCTTGGGTCAATAGCAATTTCTAGTCCTGCTGTGCTGTTAACACCTGGCTGTATTTGGGTAGAAATCAGTAGCGTGGCACCACTGTGATTTGTCGACAGAGTCAGCTGCTAATGTTTTAGTTCACATTTATTTCAAGGACAGTTCTTGCAAATTAGCTGAGGAGATGTCACACTGTACAGACAATGAACTCGTTAGACTTTGCCTCATTGCCCTCGTGTCAATTTAAAAAAACAAGGTCAAAATGAAAAACTATTTGGTGTGCGGTCATCAGTGATGAGGTCAAGTTACAAACAGTGTAAATTGTCATCATTATTAATCCATTATGGTGAATTTCCTGTAAGAGATGATTTCATAAGACCATTTATGAGAAAATTAGCCGAAGTTCAGTGACTAACATTTGGACAGAACTTACTTGTGTGTCAGGGTGTACTGATGTGCTTTTGACTCTATTGGTTCTGGAAGAGGAACTGCTGAGACAATCTTAACCTGTTGCATAAAGCATATTATAATATTACCCAGTGTCCATAGGACATTCGGATAGACATTGTTAAGCGTTTATCTCCAGCCAGACAACAGGTCAGGAGCAAAACAGATATTGAGAACTATAAAACAATGATTCTACGAACTGCTCTCACGGTATCCCCTTAATGTTAATGAACTATACGCCTCTGTCTGTTTATCTCGTATGATAATATAATCTTTACAAGAAAGTACAAAGACAGATGCAGTGAAATTGCAAAGATTTTAAATACTTTATAAGGCCTCCCCATTAGCCTGAGTGTAGCAATTATGGTCCTTTGTTGGTTAGATATTTAAAAAGGATGGTTTGACTTTTTTTTTTAAATAAATATAATTAATCTACAATATTGCTGACATATTGCCAGGTGATTGTGCACATCATAGTACACAAGAAAAGATAAATACTGGTTTCTAGCATTTCAACATAAACTAAATGATTTGTGCTAACCTAGGTTGACTGACCGTTATTTGTTAGTGAATCCAAGTTATGAAGTTATATTTCAGCTGTATTGGTATGAATCGTGCAACACTCCCCTGCGGGGTGTATAATATGAAAGCAACTAGCCATCAAGGAAATGTATGTAATCAGTTTATTGACCTGATATTTTATTTACAGAGTAATAAGTGCACAGTACTTTATCTTAAAAGTTAACCTTATCCACAGTTGTAATTGTTACAGTCTGTCCTTCATCGCACCTGATATCAGTGGTATATCTTCTTGAATGAAACTCAAATATATTACAAATCTATTTATTTTCAGGAGTGAGGTAGAACAGTTCTTAACAATAATTATTATTATATAATTAAAATAATAATTGTTACTATTCTCTGCACCTTGAGCAGCTGTTACAAACAAAATTAAATAAAGTATTTCTGATTCTGATTGTTGGGTTTGTGACAGTAGCATGCAGAAACCTTAGCAGCTGAAACAAAATTCAAAAAGATGTACTGAAGGTTCTGACGCACATAAAATCACTATTTGAACAATGCAGATGTTGTGTGAATTGGTTGTACTGTACTTTAATTGGGACAGTATCCCCAAAAGGGGCTTTATAATGACTGTCAGTGATTTAATCTGAACAGATGAAAAAATTCAAATGAAAATTGTGAAACAGTTTGATTCTTGACATGAAGTCAAAGAGGTGACACATTCTTTGCCCCCTATTATCATCAGTAACCCTTGAGCCTAACACTTAAATAACTACCCTTTTACTTGTTTCCTAACAAGACTTGCTTTGAATACTTATGCAGCATAAAACTGTAGTTTGAACACCAAGTTACTGTCCTTATATCTAAAAAAAACTTTAACAAATTGGGTACTGGACAGTTTTTAACAGGAGTACAATCAACTTTATGTTATATTAAAAGGTCAGATTTAAAATTACTAAGTGTTTTTTGGTTGTGTAATCTGAACAGAGTTGCTGAACAGATTGTATACAAACGCTAAAGCATATTGTGAGAAGAAAATGAAATTATTCTTCCAGGAGAGTAAAAGTGCATCAATCAATAGCTCCAGGAATGATGAATTGGCTTGGCTCATTCTGCACTATATCATTAGCATAACGACATTTGCTTAGTATTCAGGGACTCACTGTTTCTTAGTAGATACTTTAAATTTCAGGCTCTGTCTTGTGCATGGATCAAACTTCTTTTTCAGGATCAGGTCTGGGTGCTGTTCAGAAACACACACACACACACACACACACACACACACCACCATTTGAGGTGTCACCCATTCACTGTATGTGCACAATCTTTTCAAATACCTCCATTTTATTTGTGTTTATTCCTCCAACTCCTTTGACCTCCAGTACCTATTCCCTTATATTATACTCTACTCTTATTCACCCACGCTGCCTGGCAACACCTCCCAAATCTCGCGTTGGAGGCACAAATCTCCACTGCACATTTTGAACTGCGTAGCGACAGGGGTATCTTGCGCTGTGTGGGGCAAAGAGGAAAAAGAAAAACAAACAAAAAAAACAAAACAAGGAAAAACCCTCGACATGGCAGATGTTGCAACCCTTGATGAGGAACCAAAGCAAGAGGAATCTACTACATCAATCAAGTCCGACACCGAGGAGACCTCTGAAGAGACACCCAATGGCGTGAAAACGTGAGTTTTGTACAAGTGATGTGTTGTTGTCGTTTCGATAGCTTAGCTAAAATGGAGTCCTGTGATGCTAGCGATTGTTAGCCTCTGTTGTCAAACACTGGAGCCGTATTAAGTGAAATGTGTGGTAGTTAGATGTTAGGTCTTGTTACTGGGCTAAAATTATGCTGCGTATTCTTGTTGGCAATCAAAAATGGTGTGTGTTTTTTGCCATTGCAGCTCATCGTTGTGAATTAATGGGTTAGCGTTCACTGGGTGCTAATCAAGGTTGTGT